AGATAATATCCATAGGGAGGCAAGTGCTGGTGGGTCAGAAAATATTACTTATGTGTATGCAGGTTGTGCCAAAGAATTATGTCAGACACTGTACAAACATGGTATAGAAATATTTACAATCAAAATAGGTAAGGCAGGCAAGGGTAGGGCATGAAGTAGAATACACCAGCAGAATGTGAAATATGAGGGCAGTAAACATTATAATAGTTCTGTGGGGTTTTTTGTGGCTTTATTTAAAAGGGGATCAACTAAATGACAGGACTGGCAGAGGAAAGAAGGTATGTAGGGTACACAATAGGGAGAGGGTTGAAGGACACATATAGATTGAGCTTGAGATGAAGAGTCTGTGAATGGAGTAAAGAGGAGGGTGGGAGCATGCAGATGTTTAGCTCAGAGCAGAGAAACTGCTGTCACTCTAGAGACGGCAATGAAGGTCCTCTGAGGTCCATGGTGTAGCTGGTTCTCAAGCTGCTTTACCAGCTAGAGTCTATCATTGGCTACTCAATGCAGCTTTACCCCATAGGATGCCTGGGAAGTCAAGATAACGTCTGTGTCTGGGAAACTCAAGCATACAGAGGTGTCCCCTGCAGAGCTCTGAGTTCAGCAGCTGTTTGGGAGAGGGAGATTATGGCTGGTCTCCATATCAGTGTGCAACTGTCCCTTCTTTGGTTACCTATGAACCTGCTTTTACCTGCTAGGATACTCAGAATGCAGGTGAAATGATTGATAGATGGTTCCAGGCAGGGGAACATGGATTTAATAATCCATCAATCATACCATTTGATCTGAGTCCTTGGCTCTACCAGCGATACCTCTCCATAGCTCTTGGCAAACGTCTGGAAGGAGTCAGGGTACTCTTCATGGAGATCTCTAGTTCTCATAACAGTTCTTCAGACTTCTTGAGAAAGCTGAGTGTGGGGAAGGATAACTACTGCAATGCAGTGCTTATTCCCTCTGAACCTTACTGCCATGCATTTGCATTTTCACTGACCTGTATTTTGCATTTTTTTTCTAGTCTACCCAGGAGAGCAAACAAACACCAAACAGACTTCCCCTATGCCTGAAGAAGGGTGTTTGTGTCCGAAAGGTTGTAAAGAATATTTTTCCAACGAATTAGTTGGTCTAATAAAAAAATACCACATCTACCCAAAGAACCTTGTCTGCCTATACTTAAACCAAGTGTTTTGTTTCCCTGCAAAAATTTGAGCAGATATTTGCAGACTCTTATTTTTCAGAACTCGCCCAGCTCTACTGCTTATCTTTATGGGGATGGATGATATTCTAGCACATAAGCCCAGAATAACCTGAGGTGTGTTTAAATGTAGACCTGTTGATGAATTTGTGTAAGTGGCTAGCTGACTTAAAAGTGGCCACATAGTCCTTCTGATACCAGAACTTACTGCCGAGATAAAATTATTTCACTCGTTGAGAGAAGCAGAGCAGATGAGTTGTGCCCAGCTTGTGTAGACAAATTACTATTCTTCAGGTTGGTAAAATGATTTCCACAAAGCAATGTCCCAATTGAAAGAAAATTTCAGCTCATCACTGGCTCCGGAACATATACACAACAATGCCCACACCTAAAAGTACTCTTAACTCCAGCCAATAGCCTAAATACAAATACAGGGCAGTTCTGAAGTACTATAGAGATCTGGTAAGGCCTCTTTAACTCAGAAGTGGCAGTGCTAGCACTTGTTATAACAGCACACAAAGGAAGATCATAAAAAAGGGAGGCATACATTCTTACCGCCTGATTAAATAAACATGCTACTGTTGAAAACAGTTGAGAAGCAAGAAGTGAAAAAAGGGTGCTGAGTTTTTCTGACTGATGCAGAAATCCTTCAGCCGCAGTCTGGCAAAGAACAAGAGAGAAGTAACACAGTACTGCAGGGGCAGGTTACACAACAGTCTCCATTCAAGAAGTGGTCACCTATTATTTCCTCCTCCTTGAAGCAAGATGTAAAAACTCTGGCACATACCACGGCTCTGAAAGTCATTAGAAAGCAATTATAAACATGTTACATTTCCTGTTGATGAGGGGCCTGAACCTCTGGTTGTTTAAAGTGGGTTTCTACCTATCAAAGTCAAGGAATGTACTTCTGATTTACATCAGTGTTAATGCAAAGAGACTCCAGTCCTAAATCCCTGCCGCTGAAAATGGCTACTGACTGGTGTACTGCCAAAGTTTGGGATGACTTTTTTTGCTGATAAATATAACAGAGACAGGGATGAACAATGCAGCTGTTTCCAAACAAGCGGCAATATGAACATGAACACCTGTATATTGCCACTGAGTAAGGCAATATGCTTCACTACTTATGGCCTCATACTGGAAATCGTTAGGTCAGAATTTGAATGATCATTTTGCCATTTAAACACTGTGGACAAAAGTCCCCTCTCTGCACAGGACACTAAAAGACCTGAGTGTATTGTTAAAGAACATTTTTTTTTATATTGCCCTTTTATGTTAATGTTTTATGCATATTCCAGCCATGAGATTTAGTGGTAGGAATGTTTTTGCGAACATGTGATACTACAAAATGTTAATGCCAATTAAATTATAAGGCTCCAGTCCTGCAACGCTTCATATTTACATATAACTCTAAGTTAAATTTGACTTCGAGGCATACAAATACCACAAGTTATACAAATCTAGCCGTCTTTGTAAATGAGTTTCTGTGCACTGGGAACCTTAGGGCAGTGGTCTCCAAACTTTTTAAGTAGGAGGTCACCTTTGGCATTTAAAAGCAACCCAAGATCTACTGTGTGCTGCTGCCACCCTCCCCCGCCCCCCAATAGGTAAGTCTGTAGGGAGGGAAGGGGCAGGGACGCAGATCGATGCAGAAGGAGAAAAAAATATTTGGGGGTACGCCTCCCCAGCAGGTAAGTCCCATCTGGCAGAGGGAGGTCTCAGTTCTGCAGCTGTTTGCACAGCCATTGTTCAGTTGTCACTCCAATTACATATGTTTTCTCTTTGCATTAAAAGAATATGGACAGGAAGGGTGGCAGTGTTGAGGTTATTGTAATGCCGGATACAATACTCATTCTAACATTAATTTTCAAAGCCTAACATTTCTCACATTACGTGCTACACTGAGAGATACAGAACACTTCCAACTCTACAATCAATTGTTTGTTTGACCAACTTAAAATCAGAATACACATTTTTAAAGACACAAAACTTAGAATCAAGTTAACCTCCCATAAAAAATATATGAGCCGATACTTTCAAGTTTGGCAGACACATTCCTATTTAGCCATTTTTATTACAAGTCAAGGACTCATATTAAATCACTAAAGGATTTTTGAAAAGCCCAGATATAGGAGACTAATATTATATGGCATGAAATCAGGCATGACCATTGTAGCCAACTTGTAATCATATATTACCAATTCCTAGTCATAAAAACAATTAAAAAAACCCCATATTCTAAAAACTGCAGTTCAGTCTTGCTTTATCCTTCTGTGTTGCCATCACACATGGCCTTTTGTTCCCCTGCCTGATAAATATTTTTAACCTGTTTCATGCTGTGAGTTTTCTGAAAACATCTCGACTGTTTTTTCAGTTTACTTTGTGCCATTTTCCCTAGTTTGGACATATTTTATATTTAGGATTTCCATGTGATAACCACATTCTTCCTGGTTTTCCTCCATTTAGTAAGATTACACAATTTTTTTGTGCAGTTGAATATATTATGCGGCTTAATATGCTGTATATGTGAGACCTTTTAGAAGGTGTATGACAGCACTACAAGACAACAGTAAGTGTTTATGTGTGTTTAAGGCATGGCTAACACCACTGAAGCAACACCAACATACAATCGAAGTGAGAGAAAAAAGAGATTTCCAACTTTGCAAAATCTCTAAAGTTTCTTGTGTTGAACATTTCTCACACTGTAGCCCAGATTTTGAGCTCATTTAAATTGTGTGCATTAGATCTATTTAGTTAAGTCATTTCTCATTTACATAGGTGCAACTGAGATAAGTATGTGGCCTGCTGAATAGAAAATATTATTGTATTCTGCCTCTGAGATTACTACCTAGAAACTATAGAATTTTCTTTTCTGCCTAAAATAAAGGCATTTTGGTACTCTTTAGATATTGATTAAATAATATTTGTAACACTTTACCTATTAAATGCTAGTAAAGTGCCTTTTCCAATCACATTTCTGTCATTAAAAATAAATCCTGTATACATTACCTGTCTCTAGTAAAAGCCTCTCTGTATCTTTGAAAAAGTGCAGGAATTAGAGGTTATCTCCACTCCAGCAGAGTATATATATCACATTTGCTTCCTGTTCTGTAGATGTGTCTTACAAAAAATTACGTCATCAGGATTACGCTGCATTATTCAAAAAGAACCATTGGGGGATTGAAAGTGAGCCAGATTCAGCTGTAATCCTCTTTTCATCGCTTTAAAGAAAAAAAATATAAAAAGATCAGTTTGTTCAAAGAACAGGACAATAGTTTCCTTGCCAAAGTACCTCAGTCGTGACCTGCAGGATGTATAGCTAAGGCATGGAGAAGATCTTCAGGAAAGCAAGAGCAAATATTACTCTGCAAGTCTCACTTGCAGGGGAGATAAGGAGGCTGCCAGTGTTGTCATCTGCAGTGACAGATAAGGAAATGGTTAATAGATGCTCAGACTATCCTAGGAAGAGGGCTACAGAGGAAGAAGGCAAATACCACACAGACTCTGACAACTTAACCTAAGGTGGGGGGAGGGCAAATCCTTCCTAACTCTAATTAGGTAATTCATATGAAACTGGGCACTTCTACATGAGACAATACTGCACAGTGGTTACTGCACATTGAAGCTGGTACTTGTATAATCAAGTAGTAAATAAATATGCAGTAAGCGGAGTTACTGTGCAGTAGCGCTGGTGAATGCCTTTTAGTGATGTTACTGCACCTAATAATGCTGTGCAGCAGCTTATTAGCACTGTTAGTGCTGTGATGTGCTACTGCGCAGTATGATTTGCCTTAGTGTGTCATGTAGACATGTAATGGTGGGCAAAAAGGAGTAGCAAACAGACTTGGTGTTGGAACTGGGATCAGCTGGACAGTTCTTGATAGAAGATGCCTGATCTGTAAGTGCACCCTTAGACTCATCAAACAAGGGTGGGGAGTAAGTAGGAATGGGCTTGGAATCTTTTGAAAGTCTGGAATAGGGCATGGGTCAGACATGTCTTTAAACATTTGGAGCAATAGGCCAATGGTATCCATTGGTAAAGGTTGGAGCAAAACTAGCATTGACCACCCTGTGCTGCAGGGTGCTGTACTTGGGCAGTAGGAACCAGCAGCATGCTTATACACTGGGAAACTCCCTTCTCGAGAGCATGGTGGCAGAAAGAGATCTTGGAGTCATTATTGACTCCAAGATGAACATGGGTTGACAATGCAAGGTCACGGTCAGTAGGGCTAACCGTACCTTGTCATGCATGCACAGATGCATCTCAAGCAGGGCCATGGAGGTGATCCTCACCCTCTATGTGAGACTGGTCAGGCCACAGCTGGAATACTGTGTTCAGTTCTGGGCGCCGCACTTCAGGAGGGATGTGGACAGCATTGAGAGGGTCCAGAGGAGGGGACAGCAGGGCAGACCCTACTAGGAGAGGCTACGGGACCTTAACCTATTTAGCCTTCACAAGAGAAGGCTGAGGGGGGACCTGGTGGCCATCTATAAACTCACTAGAGGGGACCAAAAGGGTTTGGGAGAGACCTTGTTCCCCCTAGTGCCCCCCAGGGTAACAAGGAATAATGGCCACAAGTTGTTAGAGAGTAGGTTTAGACTAGACATCCAAAGGCACTACTTCACAGTCAGGGCGGCTAGGATTTGGAACCAACTTCCAAGGGAAGTGGTGCTGGCTCCTACCCTGGGATCTTTAAGAGGAGGCTTGATGTCTACCTGGATGGAGTCATTTGAGCCCAGTTTTCTCTCCTGCCCAGGGCAGGGAGTCAGATCTGATGATCTACAAGCTCCCTTCCCACCCTACTTCTATGAATCTATGATCTTTACAAGGAAGACAAAAGAGGGAGCATGGACATTACCTCACTGTAAATCTTAGTGCCATTCCTAGGAAAAAGAACAGAATGAATATTATTAAAGAAAAATTATGAAGCTAGTTTATCACCTCTTCTTATCATAGACAGCTCAAGACAAAGGAAGCCTAGGGCAATATAAGTGAAGGAGATCCAGAGCTGAGACAAACAGTGTTGGGTCTGTACCAGTATGAGAATGGGAGGTTTGGGAAACAGAATTTCAAGAATCTGGGTAGTTCAAATGGCCTTAGCTTGAGGATGAGCTTTACCTGAGAAATAGGCTTCCTGTAATGCTCTATATTTTTCCTGGACCTTTTGGGATAAGACCTTTCATTTGCTTTTGTTAGGGTGACAATATTTGGATCTTGGGGAGCACTGGATTTGCAGCTGAATAAAGGCATGACCTGTGGCCTAGTAGAGCTGCTGACCACAAGGCAGAATGATAGCTAAGCCAGCCATTTTATTATGCTAAGTAACCTTCTTAATTGTGTCAATCATTTCCTGAAAAAAACAGCAAGTGAGTCTGTGTAAGTCTGTATGCTGTGAATGAGATAAAGTTTTAGGAATGTGGAAGATGGTACAACTTAGGACAGAAAAACAGACTGGAATGTGAAAAACAACATGTAACTGGTAACAGAATCCAAAACGAACATACGCAAAAGGGTGAATGGTGATTGGTGAAGAAGCTTCCAGGTTTTAGTCACAGTCTGCCCATTGACTGAAGAAGTAAAGTCAAGGTCTTGGACAAGCGCTCATAGCAAAAATACATGTAAATGAATAAAATGCATAGGCAATTCCATGCTAAAGAAGCAAACAGTAAACAGAGGCAGAGCTTGAGATAGGAGGAGAGATGAGTGGAACATAGGAGAAGCAAGGGTGGAATGAATGTTAATGAGTATGAATCAGGGTGTATAAAATGTGAAAAGAACTATTCACTGCAGCTCCCCTGTTTGTTGGTTTTTTGGGAGCTAGTCCAAAGCTGTCCCCATTCTGAATAAAGCTGTTGCAAGCAATGTGTGCTGGTGTTTGCTCCCTGCTTGCTCTGGCTTATGAGTAATAGGACCCATAAGCAACTGGATTGTTGTCTCCCTAGTCGTTGGGTGCCACATGGAGTCGGGGTCTAACAGCTTTCATGCAATGAGCCAGCAACCTGAAATGCTTTTCATGCGTAATTTGTTTGCAATGCGATAACACTGAAGTGACGTGCCCTGCTGAGGGGAACACAGACATTTTCCCATGTTACCAGGCAGAGCAGATGATTTCTCTATTCAGCTAGAACATCTGCACAGACAGTACATGCTCCCTTCTAGTGGGATAGATCTTCAGTGATTTGACTATAGTAGGTGTGTCTACAAGTGCATTAGATCTGGGAGCAGTTTACTGGACACGTGTAAGGAAGCAGGAGCAGTTTGCTGATGGAGCTGAGTAGGGAACAGGCTCCCCAGCCCCACTATCAGGGAGTTCCTAGCACCAGCTCCATGACCACAGGGCCGGCACTGGGAGATGCTTGTCTCCCAGTCCCAGGTCTGTGAATGTGGGGCTGGTACTTGGGGTTCCTTGTCTCCTAATTCTGGCTCTGCAGGATCTTCCAGCCCCTCACTCCCCATTTGCAATGGTGAAGCAGGGGCTGGGAGACAATGATCTCCCAGCTCCCGCTTCCCAATTGTGATCTCAGAGCTGGGGGCTAGGAGCTCTCTGCTGCTGGGGCAGGGGGTCATAGTCCTTGCCCAGGCTCCAGTGGCAGAGCCCACCCTGGCAGAAGGCAGCTCGTGGGGGCAGGGAGCAATCTCCCGCCCCCTAGAGGCACATGTTTAGTGTGCAGTAAACTATGCTAATTTGCAGGAAAGTGTCTTGTGTAGATGCACCCAGTATGTAACTATGAGCTTCTTATTAAAGAAGAAACACATAAGCCAGCACACAGGCCACTGTATTATAGAAGTGAACTGGAAATATAGATAAGCTGCAGTGCCAAAAATGAAATTAAATATTTACATTGTCCAGGACCAGAGCTCAAGAGCCATTATAAAGAAACCAAATGCTTTTAAACTTTACTTTACAGCATTATCAGATTGTATTCTGACCATATAACACTTTTGTGTTATTGAATATTGCAGTTCATTACCTAGGAATAAAAGAAGCAGGAAGAAAGCAAAACCCAATAAATCTGATATCCATGACGGAAGTACAGAGACTAATTTGACATAGTAGTTAACTTTTCTCACATAAGCTGAATAAAATAGGAGTGTGTTTTCTTGTAGGAAAGGTGTGTCATTTATTCCTACTGATTGTTACTGCTTCCAGTGACCTTTTTTCGGTGCTACTACAGTTTGGTTTGAATAAGCATGCAGCAACTATGCAATGGCTAGGTAAACTTACTCTAGCCTTTATTTATGCTATCAGCCAGGTGATCAGAGTGGGCAACAGCAGAGACAGTGCAAGGTTCAACACAAATCCAAAGTGCATTTCTGTTCTACACTTTTTATGCATTAGAACAGCTAACATACAAGCCCACATGGTTCTCTACATATGGTCAGTCATGTGTGGTGCCATGCATGCTACAATTTATGGATTAATTAACTTAATTGCTACATTCCTACATGCCACTGATTTCTATTGAGCAGGTTTGGTTGTAGCATCCTACCTGCTTCTCTTATCTATTATACCACTTTGCACTGATTCTGTCCATCTCAGGATGCTCGTTAATAAATTCCAAATGATCTGATGCACTCTGTTGACTTCCACTGAACGTCATAGGCTTTGAACAGAAAGTTGCAGGCTTTTAACTCTTGCTGCTCCTAATCTCTTTTATGACCTACATATCCCACTCCTTTTTTTTCTGTCATTGCTTCAAGCATGCTTTGTTTGACATCTCTTCTATGTCTTTGTCGTTTCATGAGTCTCATTAATGAACAGCAGCACACCTATATTAGACTGATGGAGACTACCATTTGAATTCCCATGAAAACTAAATCTGTTGTCCTAACAACTGGGCAGAGATGTACAGTTTCACAGATGGTCCACCAGGGTGTGAATTAGAGCTGTGCGAAAAAGCACCGTTTTGTTTCAACTTCCATTTCACTGTGTTGATGGGACAGTGTTTTGTTTCATCATTTCATTTCATTTGCAAACCACTGTTTCATTTCATTTCAGTGGAACTGTTTTGCTGTTTTGAGGCTGTTTCAACATTTCACCCATAGGCTATAATGGGGAAGCACTTGCCTGATTTG